ATCACCATTCACATAATTTTTTAGGCAAGGAAGAATAATTTTAAAGCTATTGTCTGCTATACCGTAATTTTTAAAGATAAAAAATTTACATGTATATGTAATAATATTATATATAGATCTAAGTTTACCATTTTTTTTCAACAATTGTTTAGCATCAATACGTAAGTTATTCATTTTATTAAATAACTCTGTAAGAGGAGCAGGAGCCCTCCAAATTCTAGTGTCAGGCCGCTCGAGCGATTTTTCATACGTTATCTCTATAAATTATATTTTATGTGTACATGACAGATCAGATCTATTGTAGGCAAACTATGAATATGCAAATCAAGAGTCCACCACTTCCCTTCATCATCCTATGGAATGCCAATTGTATCACTATGAAATAATAATTACTAGTACCTTCCTTAATATTTCTTCAACTAGTTTAATGCTAAATTTACTGTGATCAAAGCCAAAAATATATGTTAATAATACTAATACCTGTCTTTAGGCACGATGTCCTTAAAATTTAACATCTAAAAATTCATTGTTGGTAATTTTTGTGTGCAGCATAATTTTTCTACCTCCAACATGACTTTAAGCCTGTGATCAAAGTTTGCTTCTTTCAGCTCCACTAGTCTTGCGTTTACATCTTCCTCAACATCTGTTAAAGTCTTATCTTTTTTCAATCTATTTGTAAATAAGAATTATTGCAATTTACAGCTACAAACTTTTCATGAGATTCTTGAAAAAACAAAGTGATTCCTATGGCATTATATGCATCACAAAGAGGAGACAAAACACCTTGAGCAACACCATCTACCAGTAGCACTTCAAACTGAGTTTGCAATGAACTGCAATCTTCATGAACAGAAAGCTACAAAAATAGATGCTATAAAATCATTATTACAAAACTTACATCATATATAATACCAGTCTCATCTGAATGTGGTTTTACTGCAATCAAAATCAATATAAAACTATTGATAATAAGTTTGTAATTATACTTACCATTAACAGATAAATACATTGAGGTTTTTGAATGTAGAAAGATAACTTTATGGGAATCACAAATTTCATCCTAAATGTCATTTGCCATATTTATTATTTATAACAGTATAATAAGTGTACTAGTACCTTGCAGCCTGTAGAATCAGAAGTTGGCAAAATTTCAAATAACAAACTTGCTTCATTATCTTCGTTTATATCAGAG